TACAGTCTTGCCCAGACCCATGAGGTCTAATGGATAAAAACTGTTTTTGTTCCATTCAGTTTGCTTAAGGACAGGGTGAACCAGAGCTAAGTTTCAAAGTGTCTCCTGTTCTGATGACAGATAGTCACGCTTGCTGAGACTAAAGGAGACCGTGTATCCAGCAGACCTGTGGGACGGGAAAATAAAACTGCTCCTGACTCTCATCATGTTTCCTTTCTCCCTGTCAAAGCCTCTCACCAACAGATCCGACATGAACTCCAACTTTGACCTTAGCAACTTGCCATTTTCATGAAGTTCACCTCTTCCACATCAGATGAAATTCTATCCAAGGCTATTTCCTCTTCTAAAGTAGTAAGGTTGTAAGCATTAAAAGCTCTACAGTCATTCGATTTCTCTCTAGATAAGTAAATTAGGAAATTTACTAGGAAAATTAGAACAGTAGAGTTCGAAATTAGGCAGTCTCTACCATGTTTATTTACCCCAGTTGCGCATTTCTTCATACTTAGAAAGCCTACAGAGTGGCGTTCGTCCTTTTAAGCATGGGCCATATGGTCTTAGTAAGTACAAACATAAGTGCAGTTACCAAAGCAAAAATTTTTTTAAAAATTCCTCTAGAAAAAAATGTAATTTGGGGAAACAGCCACTATTTATTAGAATTTACCACAGGCAGACAAAATCCAATAACTGAGGGTTTAAAAATAAAAACATTCGAAATTTCCATGTCAACATTTACAGGATTAGTAAGGCATGTAACTTGGCGCATGCCATATTTTTGAAAAATTCTGTAATAAATGAAAATAACAGTGATATCATCTGGGAGGTTATATGATAAAGTATTTTTAAAAATAATTCCCCACTTTACACCAAATGACTATTTTAAATATGTGCATGACTATGTGAAGGTGTGTCTTCATGAGTTTTGAATCTCAGGAGTCTAAGCATTGAAATGACTTGGGAAAAGGCTAGGACAGTCACAAAGAATTACTTTCACAGAATAAGGTGCCTTCATTCCTACAGGACATAGCAAAGCAACAGCAGAGGAAACACAATCTATGAAAGGAACTAATATTCCACCAGCAGGTGTTGCCCTGTTCTTAACTATGCAAGACACTGATAATTTCCACTGGTGAAGAGTACAGGGATAACACACCTGGCCACAACTGATGTTTTCAAACTAAGTTATTTTAAAGCATCGGATGGATTTTATGAGGTTCATAATGCCCAAAAGTAATAAATAATCCATTAGAGTGCTCGTGAGGCCGAGCAACACCTTTCACTGGAAAAACGAACTATTTTCAAAACTATTTTAGATATACGCCTAAAAATGATTTATCATAAAAAAATTGCCAAATATTTTTTGTAAGTCGAATGAAAATGCATAAGTAATTCTTAAGAACCCTGTAATTATTTAATATATTACTACAATCACGTGAAAAAGTGGGACATAAGTTTACAGTTGCATAAGAATTACATACAGTCACGTGATGGATCCTACCTTTTTCAGGAATCGCACTCCATAGGTAAACACGTAGAGGGAAAATGAAAATCTCCACCTGTAGGAGGTTAAAATAAAATCTGTGACATTCAGTTTATCAATTTCACAGTATATCCTAAAATATATGGGAAAAAATTCATTAAATTTGCCCTCCCTCCAACCAAGAATTCAACTTAAGGAGAAACTTCAGTGTTAGCCGAACACATATACTGGTGTACGTGGTTTACAGCAAATATCTTATATATTAATTATATTCATAATTTTTTTCACGGAGTTAATTACTGTATTTTCTCATTTTCCCATCTTCTTTTTCCCCAGCATGTGAATTTCCTCATTAATCATTCATGAAGGAATATGGTTCAATAAGATGAAGGTATAAGATAATATCTGAATCAAATAAATCAAAATGAAGTAAACGACTTAACTGACATTCATATTTGTTTCAAAAATATAAGCCTCAATGTTTTTTAAACTAAGAAAGATTTTTTTTTTGTCTTTTAACAACTGTTTATAAACATTTTTATAGGTGTCACGAAAGGAAGGCATATTAGAAAGCCAAATTATCATGTTGTTTTTTTTTTGAGCCAGAGTCTCACTCTGTTGCCCTGGGCAGAGTGCTGTGGTGTCATCATGGTTCACAGCAAACTCAAACTCTGGGGCTCACACGATCCTCTTGCCTCAGCCTCCCAAGTAGGAGTAGTAGCCACTACATCCGGCTATTTTTTTCTATTTTTAGTAGAGACAGGGTCTTGTTCTTGCTTGGGCTGGTCTCCAACTCCTGAGCTCAAGCAATCCACCTGCAATCCTTCCAGAATACTAGGATTACAGGTGTGAGCCACTGTGCCCGGCCTAAATTACAGCTTTAAATGATACCCTTCTACCATTCCAAACTTCTGGTCTAGCTATTAGACTTTCATTTTTAATGAGAAAAAAAATTTAAATTTTCTTTCAATTTTAAATGATTGAAATGTTCTGTTTTTTATATATATGTAGTCCCAGCAACTTGGGAGGCTGAGGCAGGAGACTCGCTTGAGCCTAGGAGTTGGAGGTTGCTGTGAGCTGTGATGCCCTGGCACTCTACCCAGGGGGATAGCTTGAGGCTCCGTCTAAAAAAAAAAAGAATATATTTATTGTTTAAAAACTCTCACCCTCATATTCAATTTCCAGTTTTACTCCTTATACTTTCTGAGTATGAATATCTGTGCCTTTAAAAGCTGGCTGGATTTCACTAAATAGCATTCCTAAGGTCATACAAAAAACCCTCTTATAAGTAAACATGATTCACTTACTGTAGTATCAAAATCAAAAATTTTAACCCCATCTCCACTATCAATTTCTTGGTGATTGTAAGAGTGTTGATGTGTTTCTGGTTAGATGTACAGATTCTAGATCAGAAGTTAAAACAAGGGACAGTTTCATGGCTGTTGTGACTTGACTTCACACATGGCTCCATGTTTTGTTGTGGCTATCTCGAAATTCTTAAATTCTTAATTGTTGAATGAGGGGTCCAGCATTTTATTTTGCACTGGGCCCTGCAAATTATATAGCTGATTCTGGTGAAGACACATAAATTTTACCAACTTTGGGCAATCTGTCAATATTTCCTCAACTCAGTGGCACCTCTGTAACGGGACAGTGGGTAAACACTATAACGATGATGAGGCAATGGTTCAGTAGCACAAGTGATCTCCACTTTCCCTAGTCTCTCTCACTCCCCATAATACTGAATCAGCTACTTCATCCGTTTGCCTTACTTTTCTGGTCCCTGGAGGCAACTGAATTTGCAGCTCCTAGATTAAATGATTTACTTGCATCTCCTGAAGTACAGAGTCAAAAAAAAAAAATGTAAATAAATAAATGATTTAGGAGTCAAAAAATAAGAATACATGTAAATGAATAAATGATTTATAACAGCTGTTTCAGCTCTAAGACTTATTAGTAGGCAGTTTCTATGTGTAACAATTTTATGGATGTGTACCAATTTTACAAATGTCGTTGGAATTCCTACCATCACTTACGTATCTGCATTTTATTTCATCAATAGAATGACCCAGTTTTCCTAAGACGTAGGTTCTATTACAGGAACACTGGTGCCTCCATCATTTGAATAACAACTTGTGATGAATATTTACAAGGCAGAGTTTATTTCCACAAACTATCTACAGGGAGGAAAAAATAAGCATTTTGCAATGTGACAAAGTACTTTTTTGTGTTTGTGGAATTTCATGTTTATTTCAGTCTTAAATGCTAGCTACCAGCCCCAACTGAACCTCTTCCAACCTTCCAGTAAAAGATCTATAAAAAGAGTTAAAGGCACATGCAACCGTGAAAAGGAAGACAGACCTTCAACCTATGCCAGAATTAGGGAAAAATTCTTACAACAGAAAAAGAATAAAATTAGATTTAAAACATGTGATTAACAGTGGTGAGTACAAGTGACAATCCTTAAAGGACTGTAAGGAAATCTTTTATCTGCATATCTCCCTTTCTGCACTTCCTGCCATCTTGTACAGAAATGCAAAAATATGTCAGAAACCTAGACAGCTCTTTTGTCATAAATGATAATGCTTTTTGAGGAAGCAGGAGAATCCCCTCCTCCATAAGTTAGGAATTTCTACTTTTAAGAAAAAACAAGGAAGAAGGGGAAGTACATCGCACCCTGGCAGTTTCAGTTGCAGCAAAGTATATTTAGGGACAAGATAATCTGTCAAGGAATTGCATGATGAGGGGTGGAGTTCTTATGTAATCCACAAAACAAGGCATTGGAGATAGCGGTTGTATATGAAACTCTCCTAGCCCATTTCAACGGGTCACAGCCTTGATACACATAAACCTGTTACAAGAACAGAGATCTAAAAGAAGACTTCTACTAACAAACAAGAGGGCAGACAGTGGGCTCTATAGCAATCCACACATCCACTCTGAGTCAGTATAGATGAGTATCTTGAAATTCAGGAATGAAGATGACAGCTGAATGTCAGCATGGATCTCCTAAGTAGTGCTGAATATGGAAAGAAAAAAGCATGCTAGAGATGGCAGGAAGAACTATCTCTTAAAAATGACTTCCTAGAGGAATCAGAAGTAACTTTTAAGAAAGTATTTGGCATTGTCAGTATAAAAGAAGATATGACCCCTAAAGATAAAAGCAGAAAGTCATAAGTCAATAGAAGACCACAGGGTAAGAAAGAGACTTTAGGTGAAATGAAGCATTGCGTGGATTCGAAAAACAACGGCAGTGTCATTACCCACATCATATTGGGGGGGGGGGTATACAGATATACACCATGTAAAATGT